TAAATTTATACACATATTTGATTTCCAGGCCTGCAATTACCTGGGGGCCGCTTTGCCTCTTGCCAGCCAAGGACACCACGAGCTGGCAAGGCTCTCCTGATGCAACTCACTGCAGGACAAATGCTTACAGGGCGGCTTTGCCTAGAGAACCCCCCCAAAATCCCTGTGCTGGTGTAGGGCCAGACTGCAATGCTTTCCAAGCACTTCTAGAGAAAAACCCCCTCCACATAGGCACAGCCACTCTGTAGCCTGTCTTTCTGGGGACTCCTGACAGGCACTGCACCACACATTCCCTTTCTACTGAGCTGGGACCTTACAGAAGCCTGTCAGCTGGGAATTAAGATACCATTTTGCTGCAGCAGAGGATGCAGGGCTGTGCTGCCAGGCCTTCAGGAGCCATACGTATCATCACAGTGATCTGTCGAGCAGACTGGACAAGGCAAATACCCTCCTGTCTCTGCGCTCCTGTTCCCAACACATCTGTTCAGACTGCAGGCTCTCTCTGTGCACGCATCTCTGCTGAGCTCTGCCACTGGAGCTTTCAGAAGGGTCTGCTTAGACACATTTTGCTATAAAAGACTAAAAAGCTTTTTAAAAAAAAAATTAGATTAGTTTTTTCTTTTTTTTTTTTTAACTCAGACGCAGCTCTGAAAGCTGAGGGGTCAGGCAGCATGGTTTGCAAGCAGCTCTTCCCATGGCTGCTCTGGCAGTGCTCCCCTCCCAGAGGGGTCTGTCTGACACTGTCTTCCTCCAAGGCTATAACACAACCAGAAGTAAAAATGTATAAAACGCAAACTCCCACATTCCATCCAGCACAAAACATAAAGGTGACTGTAAGGAAAACGATGAGTATGGGCTGGCACAGGTTTTCACCGAGCAGGCAGTTATATATGCTGACAAAGGGAAGATGGGGCTATATGTCTTGGCAGTAACCGCAGCGGCTGTTAAAGCTGCCCACCATGAAACACCCACCCTGTTAGATGGCAGGCAGAGAGCTGCCAACGTAGCTGTGGCTGAGGGTGCTACAGAGCCACCACAGAGGTAAATGAGAAAAGAATTTATAAAGCGGTGGCAGATCGTTTTTGAAGGCTGTTGATTGCGGTTAGAAAGAAGTTTCATAATCATTTGGGAGAGTTATTGCAGGGAACAGCACAGAACTTTGGTCATGTCTTGAAAAATAAATAATCTGAATTGGTGAAATAAAATTCACGCGCGAGAAGACAATTTACTGACTGCGAATTGCTAAAAGCCTGGGGATTAGTCAAAGATAACTCTCGTTTACCAAATGTGTTTAACAGAACGAGAGTGCTTGCAGAAGTTGTTCTGTGGTACGCTAATTGTGTATTTTATTTTGAAAACTGAATACAGAGATGTTATTAAGAAATAAGAACCATCCACAATACAAACTGCCAGCTTTGTCGAGCCAAACTACAATAGGTTCCCGCTTCTGAAACCAAACAGTGAAGCAGTGCATGATCTGATCTTTACTCAGTACTCGTGCCGAAATCCAAAGCAGGGAAACAAATCTCAGCTCTAGCCTTGACGAGGCTCAAGACACGCACCAGCTCAAGCAGCTTATCTAGCTTCATGGAGCAAGTCTCAGCGCAAAAACCTGACCAGTGTAATTAGTTGAAGGATGCCAGTAGGTTGGGAAGCAGGGGTAGATGGAGCTCAACCTCTTCCCACCATCACTGCTGACTTGCTGGGTGAGTCTGGACACATGACAGGGACAAGGGAGCTCTCAGGGCTTGTTTTCTACCCAACTATTTGTCCTGCCCAGTTCAGTCATGCTCTTGGAAACGGTAAGTGCCTTCTGCAGCCTGTGCCAGTGGCGAGCGTGCCTTGGCCACAACAGGGAGGGGCTACTCCAGTAGCAACGCATTACGTTGACCTAAGTCTCACTTCATTGCCAAAGCTTACAGTGGTGGGAGTCCAAAAACTCATTTAGCCCAGTGTACGTTTTCTGCGGGTAGGTGGAGCCTCAGAGAACAACAAAGAAAACCAGCTACCAGCCTACAGTCAGAAACATCTTGCCTTTCCCAGGACTTGGGCTTCAGGCTTAGACGAGTTTTTTCCTCCTCCTACCGAGTGCTCCTTTCCTCTGCCAGGACTCCAGGTGCAGGGAAGCACCAAGCAGCAGGAAGAAGGCTGATGGAGCTGGAGGGTAGCACGCTCAGAGGATCGCTTCACATTGCAATCGCTCACCCTTGTTTTGGCCACCCACAGGCAAGCAATACCAAGACTATAACACAACCAGAAGAAAAATAAAATACACAAATCTATACCAGCAGACTGGTACTCCTGTTCTGTACACATACGAAAATGCTAGAGAAAAACACACCAGTATATGTTGTTTCTTCTTACATGAATGAAGCTCCTCGTGACCTCAAAGCCACGCACTTGCTTGCAGGCCTGGAAGTTTAAGTGGCTGCGCAGTAGTTTGGGTGATCAGCAGCCCTTTTTAGTCAATCAGCAGATATTCAGAGAGCTAAGTCACAGACAGAGAGCAAATCTACTTAGGGAATAAATGTCTACATAAATATGAGAGATGGGATGCTGATCTTTTAATGTTCCTCTGCAGGGTAAATAAAATTACGGGTTTTTTTTCACTTCAATTCATTTATGGTATTAGTTTATTATTGCATGATAAAAAGGCTCAGCATGCCTAACTTGCTAGGTCTTCCCTCTGTCCTGGAGTGAGAGGCTGCTCAGCTAAGCTGAGCACTAACAAGAGGACAGGCAGGTAGAAAAAAAACCTGCAGCACCCATTAGCTGGACATGTAGATAAAGCCAGGGGTACGTCAACTGCCTACCTGAAGTCCATTTGGTGGAGAAAGAGGGCAATTATTGCAACAGAGACTAAGGAAAACTGGAGAAGCCTAGAGGAGCATCATCTTGCACGACGAGTTCACCATACTTAAGTCTGAGAGAGACAAATAGTCTTTCTTTCCATTATCTCCCATCTGCCACCTTCATTTGGCCATTAAAATCATTTTTAAAAAGATAAAACAAGTAATACTGCCTAACTAATGAATGTCGAATTATTGGCGTAAATATGCCAACGTTTATTTATTTATTTGCCTCACCAAGAACACGTTCTCCTCTGTTTGGTTTTCTATTTTAATGACTACAATATATCATATTAACTAGGCTTCCAGTTTGCTGGGGTTTGTTTCAAGTTCCAATTCTCGTTGAGACATCTGTGAGAAAACAGTCTCAGGTAAGAGAAATAATACGACTAACAAAAAAGTGACAGTAACTGTCACCAAAAAGCACAAGTGACCGAAGCACGTTCATTTTCTACACAAGGCCCTTCTTTCTTCCTCTCATTTGCTGCTGATTTTATTGCCCGCTTCCCACCAATATTTCACTCTGCTTATGGCAGCTCTCTGCAAGGAACGTTGATTCCCTAATTTCCAAATTATTTGCTTTCACTACCTACCAGCAGGCAGCGTAAGAAGGAAGGAACGCCAAAGCGGGAGAACCGTTTGTGATGAATTCGAGCCACGCACGATGGCTCAGCCAGGGGTTTCAGGAGGCATCCGAAACTCCGCTGATGCCCGAACCAGTGCGGAGAAACCCGCTTGTCCAGTTGCACCAAGGCTGTATCTATTTCAGAGCACAAGCATATGTGTTTTCCCCACCTGTCACAACTGTGAAATGTATAGATAGCATTTACTTCCTAGGCATTCGTCGCTCAAATTAACAGGCAACCTGTTAGTCTGAGTGCAATTAGCACCCCAAACTTCACTCCAGACGTATCTGGTAGCTGCATTTTGCTTGCAGATCTTTTCGCAGCCTGGTGTACGCTTTGAATAAATATAGGCCAACGTATAGAGTGGAAATCCTGTGAAATCCCCAACAAATTTAAAACGAAGCAGAGCTAAATATGCCGGTGGAGAATCTGCTCTGCCTTTGTTACAGCCCGTGATGGAAAGTTCATGTTTCTACAAACTGAAATTGAGCACTGGTTCACCCCAGACCAGGCAAACCCAACGACAGTGTAACACAATCTGCCAAGGCAGACTCCTGCCACCCTCTTCCTGCTGCCGGATTTAAACCTGCCGCTCCCCCTGCATGCTTTTCATGAGAATTCCAGTTACATACGGACACTCATGTTGGAAAGTGACATCAGCGTTTTGCAGAAGGACACGCGAGCGATACCATACGATACAAGCAGTGCAAACCCTTATCTGTGTCATGGCTTGATGACTTCTATGGAAGAGTATGACCAGCCCAGCTGCAAGCATATTGCCCCGGGCTGCCTTTTCTACAGTGGCCCTCCTAGCTACACACCAGTTTCTTCCATATTGCAGCCACAACGTCTGCAGCATCCTCAGATGCCCACCTGAGTGCAAAAACCACACCGAAATGTTCCTTCGCAAACTCAAAAGCATGACACTTACTCAAAATCTGAAGTAAGGAGGGCTGAGGGAGCGCACAACCCAGGCTCCACAGTGGCAGGAGAGCCTTCATCTATCACAGACTTCCCCTGGATGCTGGAGATTCAATTAGGCATGTAACTCCAGTCTCGTACATGAAGAGGATTTTATGTTTGTTCAGCAATCACCTTTTTTTTCTTTTTCTTAAACACACCACAAATGTTACCCAGAGTTCTTCCCTTGCTTAATCCATCAACCAGTCCATATATAATATTTTATTAGGATTAGCTTCTCCAAGACTCCAGTGCTTATCTGCATGATTCTCTGACCTTCCTAAACCCTACCTTACCTGCTCCATACCTGCTGGCAACACACGGCCATAGAGACCTGCAAGATGTCACCTATCTGTGTAGTGACACGGCTTTCTCCCCCGAGTCCTGGATAAATCTAAACGACGCATACCCAGAGCATCTGTCACAGCGATGACATTGCTCTTGTTCTCTGCACATCTGTGACATTTTATTATCCTCTTATATTGCAGTGGAGCTGGTGGGAAAGAGACCTGCCCTTCTCCAGCCTAGCATCCGTGGCTACTTCCCACAAGAGAAGACTGCTTACCCGCAGGAAGGAGAGGTCTCGGTTGTGCTCAATGCTGGTGATTTCCAGGTTGCCCATAACTACCTCGCAGTTCTCATAGTACTTGCGCAGGGCCCGGTACTGCTGCTCCAGGTCAGAGAGGGAACTCAGCTTGTTCTCGGTGCCGGCACACACTGCAAGAAACCACAAGACACACAATCAGAATGAGTGTGGAAGAGGGGTACAGGAGCGGAGAAGGAAACAAAGTTTGGATACAAGGATACAGGTAATTGTAACAAAAATCCTGAATTATTCAAAGGATTGGATCCTGGGTAAAAAAAAAAACACACAACAAACAAAACAAACCAACCACACCACAAACAAACCCAGCACCAGGTACTTGAGTATCAGCAGCAGAGAGAGGAAGGTACAAATATGGTTCATGATCATCTCAGCAATTTAAACACGGCTCACCAAACGGGATGAAGTGCTGGCATTTATCACCAAATGCCAAAAGGCTGAAAACGCAGAAATGTACGAAAAACGCAGAACTAGTTGAACCCCAAAAAGGCCAAATCCAGATCTCAGCCAAAGTCCCTGATAGTTCTGCCAACGCCAGAATCAGACACTGAACACAGACGTGCCAGTCAGACTAAAGGATGCAAGGCTGGAGAGCCCCATGCATCCGAGCTGACCCGGCTAACCCAACATTTTCCCTATTCAGCTGATGCTCGGAAGGGTCCATTGGACAAGCCAAGAGCAACCTGACCAGAAGGCTGACACTCAACATCGCTTTCCCCATCGCTTTCCTCAAGACTCCAGCTCTCCCCAGCTTTACGCCATTAAACAGGAGAAAGCCAACAGCAAAAACCACGCCGTCTTTCCCCAAGTCACCAGGCTGAGATCCAATCGTACAACGGAGACGTGTCAGATGAGTCAAGAAACACCATCCTAATACAGTTAATTTTCAGAAGATGCCCTTTAATATTACACTACTCCAGTAGTACTACTGCAGTTCTACTAAGCCCAGTTCAAAGCTACTGCAGCACGGTGGCTCTGCTCAGCCTGTGAGCTTGCTGTGCATCAAGCCATGACACAAACGAACCCAGGGAAGAAACACAGGAAGGGGCATGTTACCACAGTGGTTCCTCCCGCGGCACTCAGCCTGCCAGGGCAGCAATGCTACTGAAATGATCAAGCGTGGGGCTGGGCTTGGTTTTTCATGTGCACTTACTTTGCCTCTTCACTAATAGCTTGTGAGTTGTTCTCCTCTGTGAGCAAATTAATAGGAACGTATCCAAACTTCTGGAACGGACCTTATATTATGCCAAACACGAGCCAGACCAGAATAGCATTTCTGGAGCCGTTTCCACCCCTGGATGAGATCAATACAAACAAAACCCTTCACAACTCGAGGCATAATCAGTAAAATTGGTTAAAATTTGCTCTTTTGAATGATGTGGGTTCTTTTTTAAATATCAAAAGTAATTAGGTTTTTGAGCACTACTATTATTGACTGTTTACTTACTACATCCCTCCCCTCCTTTTTTAATTTTTTTTTTTTTTTAATAAAAATGGGAAAAATTCACATCTCTCTTCTTTGCTGTGGTCTCTCTGCTGCAATCTGCTCTTGTGCCAGGCTGATTTGAACTTCAAGGAGCATCTTGGCGAAGGGCTTGGTGAGGCAGCCAGAAACCCATGAACTGCTCAAAGTTTTCTCCCAAGGAAACTCTATCTGTCCCAAAAACGGCAGCAGAACCCTGTTCCTCCTGAGCCGTAACTTCTCACCGAGGAGGGAGAGCAGGGGCTGGTTTCCTTGCAAGTCACGGATTGCTTTTCCAAATACACTTTTGGTCTAGATACCGAAGGAAATACTATAAGGGATATAATTTCTTTCTTTCTTTCTATGACCTGGGAGAAGCAAAATTTCAAAAACTTAAAATATTTGACATGTATTCCTTCTACTGTGTTGCGGAAAAACAAAACTGGTTGGTTTCCTCAGGTTTTAAAATAAAAACTACCACCATATTTCAAGGCTTAATTTAAAGCACGAACATTCCCATTTTGAAAGTTTTGCCATAAAACCTCATGACTTAGAGTAAAACACATCTAAGCAAGATTTTGTTTATAATATTTTTAATAGCCATTTTTGGGGATTCCCAAGATGGAATAACATGGTGTCACTGGGATCTGACGTAGCTTTGCTGGACTGGGAACACTTGGAAAGATTAACCACTGCTGCTAGGGGATGGCACATCTATCTTTTTGAAATACAAAGCCCTTTCCTAGTTCATATTTAAAGTTTTATTCAGAACAACCTCAAGATCTGCCATTCAAGCATCTCCATCCTTTAGAGAGACACATGCCTGTCCCTGCCAGAAGACTTCAAAAATATTTGCTACCAATTACAGAATCAGTTTGTTTGTTTTTTCCTTAAAAGTGACAGCAGCATCTATAACAAGATTGACTGTGTTTCCAGCCAAATAAGTATTATTCTGTATTAAGGCTCCCAAGGACTAATAAATAATTTCTGTTCCATTTTGCAATCGGTGCTAAGGATCAACATAGCTCAGAAAACAATTCCAGCAGCTCACCTAATAAAGCTATACACTGCAATACTGGTATTTCACGTTGCACACCCGTTAAACGTTTCACGAAAGCCAATTTAGCCAGTTGTTGCTGTAAGCAGGCAGAACACCTGAAGCCTGCTCCTGCAAGAGGACTCAATGTGAGTGAAGCCAGCCCAGATGCAAGCTGGGGCTGCAGGTTTTATTTGAGCAAGATTAATTTCGTACAACCAAACCACTGCAGTAACAACTCCCAGCTTTTGCTATTGCTATGGAAATCAATTCTTTCAGATGAATAACATCTTAAAAGCAAATTTAGAAGAAATTATGTTGATCCTTTAAACTTATCTCACAGTAATTCCAACCATTTAATTTCTGTCTTTAAAAAAAAAAAAAAATGCCCTCGGGTCCTCTGTTACACAAAGCATCTCCTTGTTCCAGCTCACACCTGGGCCTCTGCCGCCTGCCTGATACCTAGAAAATGGTACATGCAACCTGGCTCCTCCCAGCCTGCTCTGCCACAGAATTTGGGAAATCAGGGAAAGTCTCTATCCAGCATCAATCCTCCCAACCACCGCATGGCCTGGCTCAGCTTTTGCAGCCTGTACTGCCCTGACAGGTGATCTCCCTTCAACACAACAAAGAAATTGGTTACAGATTGCTTCAAACCAAGTCATCGGTACCCAACCAGCAGTGCAGCCGATGCAGAAACCGTATTCAGATTGTGGGAGAGCTCCGACCTGCAGAACGAGTTGAAGTGCCAAAGAAAACCTGGGTACAACCATGGATCATTAATAATCTATTATTATTATAAGCCATTCATTTCTCTGTGCCTCAGCTTTACAACATGAGTTTTGAACATTTACTTTTGATGCACCTAATAATTACGCCAGATTCAAATCACAGAAGAGAAAGCTATGAAAGTATTTCAGAAAAGGAGATTAGGTCAATCGGCAGTTGCAGGAGGACAGAGCTGGGACATTACCTCCATCCTTCATAGACAGTTCTTCAGAACAGAAATATTAGATATGCTGTTGGCGTTTTTTTTAAGACAAAATACAACTAATAGGGTAAAAAGTCATTCCTGCCACGAGGGAGAAACGCTGCTGCCATGCACAACTACAAAGGTGCTCCTGCTTGCTCACACACGCCAGGGAGCCAAACCTAGGAGGGACACAGGCCAGAAAGCAGGCTGTGAACTGGTTGTTAATCCATTTTATCCCCCCATTTTGAGCCACAGGAGGCAATTCCCAGCTGCTCCAGAGCAAAAATAATCACTCTGGGTCTGATTTGCCAAAAGAGTCAAGCAGTAGTCAAGTGAAAGCTGAGCAGGGGTCGCATGGAATGCCCAGCCCCTCTGCCCCCAAGTCGGACAGAGCATGAACATATCCCCCTCACCTCCTGGAACAGCAACAGGCACCTCTGTGTTGTAGCAGCTCTTTAAAATTAAGTGCCAAAATATTACATATTTTCAGGGATGCTCCACCTGTATACAGGCATAAACACGAGCACAACAAATCGTATTTCCTTGTCACGCCACGCAAACACACCATAATCTATATTTCATAAATATATATATTTCATAAACTCTCCTCTCTGTTGTATATCGTTAGACATGTTATTTTATATATTCCTAGAAACCGTTGAGCAGCAAGAAAATAAAGATTGCACACTAAAAGCAGTCCCTGCAGCAGAATCTCTCGTCGTTAATAAAAAGCACTAATTCCCTTGCCTCTAACAGAGGTCAGAAAAGTAGCAGCTTCTGTACCTTCCACCTGCAGCTTCTCTCCCTGTTGAGCATCTCTGAGAATGCCAACTCCCGACTTGCTCAGCAGGCCTTACAGAGGCATCTCCATGAGGGAAGCCCTTCGGCGCCGTTTCGGTGCATGCCCAGGAAAATCTGATGTCTCCTTACGTTCTCCCAGATGGAAACACCAGGGAGCTGTTGACTGAAAGCCCGCACCAGGTTACCAGCGTGCCATGAAGCTCTCAAACGCATCTCTCCACTGGCATGAGTGTGGCCATTCCCTCTCTTGTCATATTCTGGCAACAATCCTTGCAGAACATACACGTGCACGTGCCCACAGACACTCACCACTAATGTTACTCCAGAGCTGAAGGACGTGCATCTTCCAACTCTGGGAAGCCCCACATCGGTGGTGCCGGTGGCCAGCCAGGCTGCCAGCCCACCGCGGCTTCTCTGCTACACCCCAAACATGGGTGATTTTGGGTGGGCATCGGGGCAGAGCGCCGCTTGGCCAGCACGGAAGTGGATTTCAGGCCTCACTCACACGTTCAGACGTCACGTTCAGGTGTTTACTTATTATCAGCTACCTAAAGTACCAGAGAAGAGCTTCAGCTCCTAATGGCCCTAATTACGGCAGTAATAATCGTCTGTATTGAACTGAATTTATGTTTTTCATCAATATTCATGCACATGACTTGAAAAACAATTTCCCATCGACATATTTTTCATAACAAAGCCGAATCATTCAGATGCTCACTCAAAGGCAGCAAACAGCGAAGGCATTTAAAAACGTCCTTTAGCTTCTGCTTTTTAGGCCATTATTTTGCTCTGTTGATGATAAATCTATACATAAAGTTAAGAAATCACATCTGACTCAATCTAAACCTGTTTTGTGTAATGCTAATGGATTTTCTAATCCTCCCAACTCAACAGATGAACTAACTTTTGGAACGAGGTCAACTTGTTTCATTTTTTATTTGACCCCTCTCTGGATCTGCCTACATTTGGAGTTTTTCAGGAACAGTCAATCCCATCATCTCCAGTGTGGTCACCCCCACCTGAAATACCAGTGTCTTGCTCCTCTCCCAAAGCACGTTCAGACAAGCAGCGATAAGGCATCCTTGCTGTTGACTCCAAGGAATTACCTCCAGCATCTGTATATATTCTTTGGAACTGTAAAACATCGTCATCTTTTTGGCAAGGACACGGGAGAACGGCGCATTCGCCCCGCGCCAGCCTCCGCCCGAACACAGCACAACCTCCTTCTGCCAACCAGTCTGTCAAGCGGGCCAAAAACAGAAGAGGAGGCTGAAACTCTCAGGCTCCCTCGTTTCAGGAGCGTGTTTATGAAACGAAAATCACATGCTCCTTCATCCCAGACAGGACGAGCCCAGCAACAGCCAGCATCCTCTTCCTAACACGTTCTTTTCTCCTACTTCCCACTTCTTTACTTAATCAGCTGTGTTTTCAGACAGGACCATCATCAGGGTTTCTTGAAAGGCAGCTAATGTAACTGTTTATTCGTACTTGCAAACACTCCTGGCAATTTGTTAGGGCCCCTCGATAAGGGGAAACACCGGAGCCCCGTAAGGAACAACGAATTACCAGCAATGCCGCAGCCGTCCCCGTTCATTTCATTACGCTCCGTGCTCCCGGCGACAGCCTGGGCCCTGTCACCTACGCACACAGAAGAAGGGGTAAACACACTTTTAATCCTTTCTTTATTTTTTTACAGCTCTCCTTGAATGAGCTGCAAAAGCCCTGAATTTTCTTGCAATTATAGGCACGTCCTAATGAAGGGAGGGACCTCTTGCACTTACAATCTTGCAGATGTCTCCTGGGAGAAGGCAAAACGCTCCTTGAGGTCACCAGCCGTTTTCCTGTAAACCCAGTGGTTTAAAATTAGAGGCTTGGTTTCCCTAGGTGAGAGACTGTAATGAAGGAGAGCACAATTTTCTCTGTACTCCTAATTAAAAGCTCAGCTGGCACAAGCATTTTCCTTCCTTGAGGTCTGCTCTACGCTAGAAAATTATCATCCCATTTGAATCCAGTTGCACGCAATCAACCCGCCTGCCACGAACCCCTGGCCAGCCGCACAGCCAGGAGAGGAGAGGCTCAGCATCGACATCCAGCTGCCGTTCTGTCCGTCAGGATGTCACTGGGATGAGGTGACACGGTACAGGCTGGCCCATGGCAGCTCTGAGCTACATCATCACGGCTTTAATCCCTTCGACCTGCGTGCAAACACGCAAACGGCCCAGAAACACAAGCCTGGGAGTGCTAATTCCTTATTTTGATTTCCAAGTTAAGCTCTCTGCAATTGCTAAATAAAGTAAAATAAAAAATTTAACTATGATTTTCATCCAGACTTTAATCTGCAATGCTAAAGGGACACTCTGACACACTCCCATAGCCTTTCTTCTCTTTGCATGGAGAAGTCGTCCCTAGATTGATAGAACCAGGGACCAAAAGCATTAATTCCCCGAAATTTGCTTGCTAAGCTTCCAAATATCATTTCATGTGCCATTGTAAAAGCTTCCCAGCACTTGCAGAACAGTTGCAGGGTTGTGTGTTATCAGGGTGGTTCCACCTCCAGTAGAGGCTCATCAGATGCCACCTACACTCCCAATTTTATGAACAAGAACACGAACAGGCCCAATAAAGACTGACAGTGGCTGTAACTTCACCAAGAAAGATTAGTTGTGCGTGATAACACCTTCCTGAGCTGATGGCACTCTCTCCTTGCAGTGAGCTCTCCAAAATCTGTTTGGTGGATGCTCCACAGCATATTTAACTGATGGAGCACTCCTATTCATTCCAACCAAAAAACGGCATTGAAACATTGACTAGATTCATACTGCGACACTTGAAGGATGATTGCCTGTGCTGACCATGGCAAGCCATTGTCATCCGCTTGCATTACGCAAATATTTCCAGCATTGTTTCTCTTTTAGTTTCATCACATATATATTATGATACAGCAACTGGAAAAGACAAAATGGGGAAAAATGTACTGGAGGACCTATATCACACAGCTACCACTGGGAAAGAAAAAAAGCAGATATTCATACAAGAAGCTTTGCCAATAGTTTCTCCCCCACCAAAGCGTTTGTACCAAATTATTGTCTCTGTGCACTTCTCGTTCCCTTTTTCTCCCTTACTCTTCACAGACACACGCACACTTTCTTCCCTTGTTTTGTTCTATTTTGAGGGTAAATAGTTGCTTCTTAACTATAATGTAGGTACCGGACTTGACAAGCAATTAAAGCAAACAATTTCCACTCATCTAACTTTGCCAAATTAGTCATCTGCCATCTGCTCTATCATCTGGCTCTCCTTGAGGTCTTGCTGTGAATCTGGAAGCGCTCACTCTGACGAGGAGGCAGCGGATAAGCCTCCAAGCTGGCGGGGAATCCGAGGGACAGAGGTGATACAGGGGTGACACGTGGCCCTGCGCCGCTCACCACCACCCGCGTCCAGCCAGCTCTGAGGAGGGGCTCGCTGGCTCCAGTGGTCGAATCGGCAAATTACTGGCACACAAGTTGTGATGGAAAAGCATTTAAAACAGAAGATTTCTTTTGTGGCCACTTATGTGGCATGGTAGCTTAGAAGGAGTGTGGGATTTTCTTACTGGATGCAGGATGCAAAAATAACTTTATTGAAACGTCTTCAGCATTTACAATTTAGTGCCCAATGAAGTACATAACCTAAACAATTAATAGACGTTATCTAAGAAAGATCTGAAGTGTCTCTGCTGCCAGCACTTGGCTGTTTTGAGACTGGGAAAACGTTTTCAAACAGCTCTGAAATATGTCAGTCTCCTCTGCCCTCCAGCTTCTGAGCACTAGCAGGACCTTTCTCTATTACCAGGTTTCCAGTCTGGGCTCCTTACTGGGTCTTCCCAGTATGATCAAGAATATCACCACCATCCCTTTTCCAACTAACCTATGTTTCCTCTCCGAGTAAATTAAATCCCACTCCAGAGTACAAGTTAATCCATGCAAATGTTGCTGTTGCTCAGAACCATCATGCGGAGGAATCGCTCTCCCTGCTGCTGGTGAAGACCATTACAGACTGCTTGTTCCTGCGCTAGTCTCCAGTTCAGCCACTTGAGTGGAGCGCCCAAAATTAAGCTTGTGAATCTGACTTTTAATGCCAGGAAGCCAAATCCTTCCCTACAGTACCAAAGTATAGACCATCACGCCAACGCCTTCTAAGATTAGTCAGTCTGCAGATAAA